GTTCTCATTCACACTTTTCATGCATGTAAACAGTAGCGCAGCAAACTGGCGACATGCGCCCACTCAAAACTCAGAGATATAGCATCCAGATACGAGTTCACTTTCAACTGGCTATGGCGACTCAGCGCCCAAACAACTCACTGTTCACATACASCGGACCACCCTGGATATCCCACACGCGTCACTCTGAACACTCACACATACACACACACACTTCACACTAAACTACAGCTATGGCAGCTATGGCTGCCTCTACCCTATCGCTATGCTACGCTCCTTCTCTCTTGCCCACTTCAGCTCCGGGCTCTCTGCAGACCTCCTTGCACAAGTCGATGTGGCAGCGCTTCCGCGTGGCTCACGCAGGAATGAATGAAAGGCTGGGCGCTGCCTCTTGATTTATACTTCTGAAACTCGTTGGTCTGCCCTCTTCCATCGGTCCATGGTGCTTACAGTCCCTTGTGGTACTTGYTGGACCGGACTGGGACTGAMTGGACYTTACCGCTGACTGAGTGGGGASTCACTGCTAACCTACCGAGATCGTACTGCAATTGCACTGCAGTTTAGTCCCCCACTTGACTCACCACTTGACCACTTGCCCACTGGCCGACCTTCTAGAAGGACTACAGCTAAGACTTCTGGAACTCGCTAAGACTTCTATTCTACCAATCTACAGATCAAACCCCTACCACCTACGGACCTATGACAGCCTACCAACTGTTTACAAATACACAGGTCACGGTTCAACTCTCGGGGTCTACACAGGTACTGTACACAGATAGGGCAAGGTCTAGGGTCGAATCCCTGCTACTGCACAGAGGTGAAAACCGTTTCACTCCCGCCGTCCTAAATTCGAGGTCCTCCGAGAATATTTCAGTCCAAGGCAGGACCTTTACCTTTCTTATCGCGCTCATAGGCTCTGAATATGTCGGGAGGTGTTTCTAGTAGTTCTGTTCTAGTGAACCAGCGGTCGTCGTCCGGTTCTTGGTAAGCAAACCGGACCTTATACTGTTTCTGTGGACGACCTCTACCTCCTGTTCTAAACACATCCTCATCTACAATGCCGTCAATGTCATAGCTTTCGTCCATATCCGGGGGGATCATGGATCTTCTTGAAGGGAACTGTTGACTTGTGACACACGGCAACAACTTTGAAGCATGGAAAACAGGGTATGTGTGGAGGTGTGCTGGAATCTCGATAGTGTAGGACGGTCCATCCTCTCCGCCCTTGACCTCTAGCACTGGCCACGGTCCTCTATAGGCAGGCAGCAACTTCTGCAAGATGTGCTCCTCAGGTGCAAACTCTTTAGACTTGACCCAGACTAAGTCGCCTACCTGAAACTGCGATGGGCGACGATGCTTATTGGCCTGTTCTATCATTCGGTGCTGGGCCTTCCTGAGGTTCTCAACAACAGTTGCTAGTTCTTTCTCGTGCTGTGCTGCGAACTCCCTGGTACCGGGCGGTAGTCTGTGAATCTGATCCCGGTTCAGTCCTTCGAACGGTCTGCGTGGTCTAAAGAACTTGTGCAGCTCATTGGGAGTGTGGCAGGTGGATAGATGCACGCTGTTGTTGTATGCACTGGCTACCTTAGGCAACATCTCATCCCAGTTGATCTGATCAGGTCTAACATACATGTGCAGAACTTGCTGTAGGATCTTGTTCATTTGTTCTGTCTGACCGTTGGTCTCTGGATGACGGCCAGATGACATTAACAACTTTGACCCGTAAACTCTCATGAGTTCTTGCCAGTTCTGGCTGGTGAAACGACTATCTGTATCGCTACCTATGGATAATGGGACCCCGTTCTCACTAACCCAATGATCAAAAAACTTCTGAATAACTAATTATGTGCGTGCCTCTGCAGGCAAAGGAACAAAAACGACATACTTGCTAAAACAGTCAACTATGACCACGACTTGGCTCTTGTCATGCCTACTCTTGACCTGAGTATCCATGAAGTCTATGGACACTGAGTCTCCAGGTTGATCAGGAATAGGCAGCGGTCTGAGAAGACCTAGGGGCGCGCGTGTAGTAGTTTTATTCCTCTGGCACACTTTACAACTGCGAACATACTCTATGCAGTCATTCTTCATCCCTGGCCAGGTGTACACACGCATCAGATTGGCTAATGCCTTCTGCCAACCGAAGTATCCCTCTGTGTCATGGCATTCCCCTAGGATCAGACTGCGGATTTCCTCACTATTGGGAACGCATAGGCGGTCGAATACATCCGTCTTCTCAAACAACAATCCTTCTGTAGCGCGGTAGTGTGGTTCGGTCTCTGGGGCCTCCTTAACTCTCTTGAGGAGGTCACTATAGATAGGGTCTTGCGCATATGCTTGCCTTTACTTTCTCCTGCAGGTCTCTCCCTATATCCAGATAGTGTACTATGGCTCCAAAGTAGTCTGATCTCCTACTTTGAGCATCTGCAACTACATTGTACTTTCCCTTCACTGGCTTAAGCTCAAAGTCATACTGGTTTATCTCAGCGGCCCACCTAGTTAACTTAGGTGTCATCTTGGCTTGGTCTTTAACCATCTAAGCGTTTCATGGTCAGAATACACTTTGAAGTGTCTCCCAAGCAGGTAATGCTTTCAGTGCTCCAGAGCCTGCCTGAGAGCGTACAGTTCTCTCTCATACATCGAGGTGGCTACCTTCTCTGAGGGCATCCTTGCTGACATGAACTCTACGGGTCTATAGCCGTTGTCGTCGTCTTGCTGCAACACGGCACCTATACCATACTGACTCGCGTCCATGGTAACGACAAATGGCAAGGACGGATCAGCTACCTTGAGGAAAGGATACTCTATTAACGCTCGCTTTAATCTCTTTAGCGCAGACGTACAATCTTTATCCCATTGCCAGATTGCCTTTTTCTTTAGCAACCTGCACAAGGGAGCGGCGATGGTAGAGAAGTTCCTCACGAACTTCCTATAGTAGTTGGCTAGGCCTAAAAACGACCGCAACTCTGTCAACGTGCGGGGCGTCGGCCAATCTTGAATTGCCGCTATCTTGCTGTCCTCTGGCTTAATGCCATCCCCGTCTAATACGTGGCCCAAGTACAAGACTTGTGTCTTGGCCCACTCGCACTTCTTCGGGTTGATCTTGAAGGTAGCCTCTCTTAGCTTCTCCAAGACCTGCCTTAGATGACCCTGATGCTCCTGGAGGGTCTTACTGAAAACTAAAATATCATCTAAATAAACTACTACAAACTTGTCTAACCACGACCTAAACAGATCGTTTATACATCGCTGAAAAGTTGTTGGTGCGTTAGTCAGTCCGAAGGGCATCACTATAAACTCATAGTGCCCATATCTAGTCCGGAACACAGTCTTGTACTGGTCATTAGGATGGACCTCTATCTGATGGTATCCGGATTTCAAGTCTATCTTAGAGAAATACTTGCAACCCTACACCCCATCTAAGAGATCGTCTATCCTGGGCAGTGGCTCAGCATTCTTTACAGTAATTGCATTCAAACCCCCGTAGTTTATACACATACGAAGCTCTCCTTCCTTCTTGGGGACAAACAAAACAGGTGCTCCAAAAGGAGACGAACTGGGCCTGATCCAACCTTTCTCGAGGAGTTCGTCTAACTGCTTGCGTAACTCCTCTAACTCTCTAGGGGACATCCTGTAGACTGCTCCCTTAGGAGTTCTACTGCCAGGCTCTATCTCTATCGTGTGCTGGATGGGTCGCGGCACTACTCCTGTCGGTGACTCAGTCAAATCTTTGAACTCTTCCAGCCGCTTGGCTATCGTTGGATCTATGGAATTCACCTCTTCCTTAGCCTCGGTGACATGTCTAACATAAACTACAAAAACCTGTTCCTCTAATCGTTCCTTCTTCACTAATTGCACAAACGTGGGAGCACTGAGACAGCAATGTGCCAAGGTGTTGTCTACACCTGACACATGAAACAGGCGGGCAGTCTTAACCTCGCCTAACGGACTAGGGAGCCTACATTCATGCTCTCTCAAGTGGAGTGTGGACCCTGCTGCCTCTCCCCAATCCATTCCTAACACTATGTCGAAAGGAAGGTCATCCTGTACGAGGAGAGTCAGGGAATGGAGAACTTTCTCCACCTTCCCATCCTTCTCTACGCGGAAATACGCATGGACTCCCTGTACGTAGTCCTCAACTCGCATCGTGCGGTTGTCCGCGAGGACACTGACTATAGGGTCTGCTAACTTTTGGACTTTCAGTCCTAGCCTCAGCTTCTTCAGCGCCCTATGGCTAATATAACTGCAGGTGGCCCCTGAATCTATAAGGGCCCCTACTCTGCTTCTAAACACTTCTACATCTACCAAGATCAGTTGTCCCTTACTCTCCTTCTTCATTTTGGCCCAGGCTGGCATTCTCTCCTTCAGCTCTTCTGCCACACCTGTGAGGGACGTGCCTAGAGAGACGCTAACACACGCAGTCTCTGGACAGCTAGCTAGGCACGGGCCTGCAACCTCTGTCGTAGGCTCATGTGGTTTGGGAGTTTCCTTTTCACGCGCGCTCGCTTCCCCACATGGCCTTGAAGTAGGGGCAGTTGCGACCCCTACTGGCGGTTGCCTTTGACTGCTGGGCAGCCCAACGGGCCTGTCTATACTTAGGACAAAATTTAATAACGTGGGTCGGGTCACCACAAAACACGCACTGACCCAGGTCCATGCGTTTCTGCCATTTACGCTGGTCCAAGCCCAAATTTTCCCAGGGCCTGCCCTGTGGCAAGCCTGGGTGCCATCCTCCTTGAGTAGCCCTTCCACCTCGTCGTTGTGGGGACCGACAAGAACCCTGGCGATTTGGCGGGGGACCTTGACCCCTAACTCCCACTTGGCGGTTCCCTTGTCCGCCAACCCCTTGTGCGCCCGGTCCTCGGCCTCCCATGGCCTGGCCCCTTTGGCCTTGGCTTCCTCCTCTACTTTGCGACCTCCCTCCAGCAGCGACAGCAGCATAGGACCTCCCCTGCCCCACGCTATTGTCCTCCTCCTCGAGGTCCCACTCAATCTGACTATACGGGACCTCATCTGTACCACCTTCCTCTAAAGTAAGGATCATATGATCCTTGGCCCTTACTTGGCCTGAGATGGTACGACTCTTCCACTTCTTCCCCTTGTCCAGATCCTTATGCCAGAAAGTGGTAACTGGCATGGACTTTGACTCATACAGGACCACTTCCCTACTCAACGCATCATAAGTGATGCCAGCCTGTTGAGACTTGTCAAAGAAGTGCCCACGCAGGGCCTCTGGTATGGCACGATAAAACAACTGAACCAATTGGGGCTTAGTAACCCCATGGTCTGGGACGGCTACCAGGTCGTCCATAACGCCCTTGAGTGCTCTCGCAGTCCTCCACTGTCACGAGTGGATCGTCTGTAACTTGTCAGAGGCCCTAACGCCTCTCGTTGGATCCGCAAATCGCTCCCTCAGGAGCTTGAAGAACTGAGGAAGGGGGGTGACTTTAGAGTAGGCAACCAGGTTGTTTTCACAACCGGCTGCGCACGCAAGGGACCTGGCAAAACTAGCCGCCTCATCCTTAAGGGCCTGGAAGGCCACGAAGACTTGTTCCTCTATCAGGACGTGTTGTAGATACACGTAACTATTGACATTGTCCTCCCAGTTGTCAAAGTTCTCCTCCTTTTTTCCCCCGTACGCATCTGGAAACTTAAGCTTGACCGGGTCCTTGCGGGGTCTGGCCTCGCCCTCTACAACAGCTATCGCTTTGGCGCCCTCGATAGCGCCCTCACAAAACTTCCCCACGTTGTCTCTCAACCTTTTAACTTCTCCCCCAACGTGGGTAACCCTATCGCGCGCAAAGTCCCTAAATCCCGACCGCATGGCACTCAAGGCTACCTCTTGACTCCAACTGGCTTGGTGCTCCTCCATCCAAGCCGTGCTCAACACCTCCAAGTATCCCAGCACCTTATCCCATTTGGCCGAGTCGTTTGCCTAGGCCTCCACTGCTTGCATACAGTCCTTCACCTTTGCCACCTCTGCGGTCAGCCTATTGACTTCCTCCCTCCTTCTCTTCTTCTCCCTCTTCATTCTCAATTTTCATTCCAACTTCTGTTCCTCTTCTCTTTCTCGCCATTCCATGGGATCCTCCATTGCCATTAGCTCCCTGGCTAACGCATCTCTCTCATCCTGTGGCACATAAGACTCCGCCTCCTTGTCTTCCCCCAATGATAAATTAGCGACCCACTCGCTGATCTTTTTCTCCATCTCTGCGTCTCCATCCTTTTTTGTGCCACTGCTCCCCTCTCTACTCTCAATACGCATCCTCTTTTTTGCTTCTTCTGCTGCTGCTTCCTCGTCGGCAGGCTTTCTCCTCTCTTCCTCCTCCTGTTGAACTCTCTTCATCTCCTCCTCCAGATTCTTCATCTTTGCCGCCTGCTCCTCTGCAATAGCCTTTAGCTTCGCCTGTTTCTGGAGCTCTTTCCTCTCTTTGTTTTCTCTCACTAAGGCGGCCATCTTCTCTTGTTGTTCCTGGGTGTAGGGGCTAGTGCTCGTCCCACTACGGGTCTCAACCATGGTGTCAGTGCACAACCAGATTAGCGGTTCCAAACCTCACCACGTAGACTATAACCCCTTACAGACAAACCTACAGACTCAATCTAAGACTCACAGAATCCGGACAGGGATCCTGCCAACTAGGATCTCTAGCCTAGACCTATACTATGGCTGTCACTACTAGATCTGTTGCTGATCAGGAGGCATTTAAGGGGATCCCCCGTACTCCTCAGGAATTATTCAACGTCGCAGACAGGACAACGCGATCAGCAGGTCTCTCAACACTTAGACGGCCTGTTGTGCGGCCCACAGCTCGCATTTTGGGCCTACCGTGCCACACCGAGCAGCCCGCCGGTCAGTACTGGTCCTTGGGAGGGTTCGTGTCCTCCGGGACAGTCGAGTCGTCAGGCACAACTTTTAGCCCTACTCAGCCCGTGTGGGTTTGGTCAACAACGCCCTATCCTTCATCCACAGAGTACTATCACCTAGGACAGAAGAGACTTGATGCAGAAAGAAGAGACAAACTGACTGGACTCAGTAAGTACCACAGGGTGTGTGCACACCCATAGGGCGAGGGATAGGCTGAAGGCTTGGCGAGATTTTACCGGCTCCAGCTTGGTCAAAGTATTGGTCAATGCCTTGGTCAACGCCGGTCAACGCTGCGGTCAACCCCCGGTCAACCCCCGGTCAACTCCGGTCAACTCCGGTCAACGCCGGTCAACTCTCCCGGTCAACCCTTCGGTCAGCTATGGCTGCCGGCTTCTCTTTCCCT